GTATGTTGTGCCGGCCTCCTATCTTGTCCTGTGACTAAAAATGCCTAACCTCCTGGGAATGCAGCCCAGCAGGTAGCAGCCTCATTTTACCCAGCCCTGTTCAAGATGGAGTCGCTCTGGTTCAAACGCCTCTGACAGGAACACATGAAGATGAGTGAGAACCATTGCTGTGCTCTAGACATAGTGATGTAGTTAGACTTTGCATCCCCACCAAATCTCATCTTAAATTGTAATCCCCATAGTCCTCATGTGTCAAGGGAGAGACCAGGTGGAGGTCATTGAATCACGCGGGCAGTTTTCCCTATGCTGTTCTCGTGATAGTGAGTGAGTCGTCACGAGAGCTGATGATTTTATAAGTTGCTCTTCTCCGCTTTGATCAGCACTTCTCCTTCCTGCTGCCTTGTGAGAAAGATGCCTTGCTTCCCCTACGCCTTCTGCCATGATTGTAAGTTTCCTGAGGCCTCCCCAGCCATGCTGAACTGTGAGTCAATTAAACCTCTTTCTTTTATAAATTACCCAATCTCGGGTAGTTCTTTTTGCTTTTTGTGTGTTTTTTGAGATGGAGCCTCACTCTGTTGCCCAGGCTGGAGTGTAGTGGCATGATCTCGGTTCACTGCAACTTCCGCCTCCCCGGTTCAAGTGATTCTCCTGCCTCAGCCTCCCAAGTAGCTGGAATTACAGGTATGCGCCACCACGCCTGGCTAATTTTTGTGTTTTTAGTAGTGATGGGACTTCACCATGTTGGCCAGGCTGGTCTTGAACTCCTGACCTCAGGTGATCCGCCCACCTCAGCCTCCCAAAGTGCTGGGATTACAGGTGTGGGCCACTGCGCCTGGCCTCGGACAGTTCTTTTCAAAGCGGTATGAAAATGAACACACATGGCCATGCAGTGTAGAAAGCACATCTACTACCACTTCCTCCTGGATTGTCACCACATCCCTGAGAGGACCCAGAAGAGGAATCTGTTGTTTGCACAGGAGAAAAATGAAAGCTACAGTTTGGTTGACATTTGTGGAGTACCTGTTATTTGTTAGGCACTTAGGTTTACCTCTGCGACAGGACAGAACTACAAGTGGCCCTGGCATCTGAATCAATCCCTAGATCCGCTGTCTGTCGAGTGGGGCTGGGTTCCCACATGAGTAGCAGCCAGAACAGGTCCCTCCAAGGCCACGGTCCTGTGGGAGCTCAGACCCTTTTAACTAGGGTTGGAGCCTGGCGCCCTCTGGCGGCAATAGCTGCAACCTCTCCCTGCCAAACCCAAGGCCAGCCTGAGACCAGTCACCAGTTCACACCCTTGTTTTGCAAGCAGAAAACCTCAGTTCAGAGAAAGGCCCGGGCTTGCTGAGACAGAGCGACTTTCATATTTGCCTTGCGGAATGTAAGTTGTCTGGTGAAGCAATATTGCTCTTCTTGTTAACAAAAATCAAAATTGGGAGGGTTAAGGCAGTACACTGATGTTTGCTGAGCCTTCCTTTATTCTCCCTATCTTGAGATGGGTGTGATGAGCTCATTTTACAGAGAGGAAAAGTGAAGCTTTTCCTTCTGTAGAGAGATTAAATCAATTACTGTAGAGAGGTTAAATCAATTACTTTCCCAGGTTCACACAGCCAGCCAATGGCAGAGCCAGGATTTGGTCCCAGTTCTGACTCTAACCCCACCCTGCCAGATCCCTGGAGTTTCACCTCCAGTTCCCTGTTCCCCAACAGTCCCCCCACCCCCCAACTTCTTGGTGTACTAATCTGGGACAGCAGAACATCAGCAGTCATAAGTCCTTAGCTCCGTACTCCGTGTCACCGTGTCATTCAGACACAGCCAGTTACCACTCCTTGGCCTAAGCTGGGGAAGGAGACTGGGGGTTGGGAAGAGGTGCTGGCCAGGGGAGATTCAGGGGCTTCTGGTGGGGATGGATTAGTGGGGTTGAGAATCTAAGCCAGAATTTGGGACCTCGGTAGCTATGAGATCTTGAGCAAGCATCTCTACCTCTGTGAGCCTCAGGTTTCTCAGCCAAAAAGTGGGAAATTCTACCAATACTTTGACAGCCCCACTTAGGAAAAAAACAGTCCGGTTTGGAGTTAGATTTTGGCATTAGATTTTGTTTCAAACCCTGAATCTCCCACTGACTGGCTGTGTGGTTTGGAGACAGCGATTTGACATCTCTGAGCAGATTTCAGATCCTGAATCTGCAAAATAGGTTGTTGTGGGGATTTAGTGAGGTGACTGAACTGGAAGCACTTTGGAAAATGTGAGGCTTTACAAATGATGCTGGTTTTTAGCACTTTCCTGGAATGGGGGCTCTGAGATGGGGAGGGAAATGGCTACGGGAAACTGGCACCCCCTCAACCTTTCCCCTGAACTCAAGCATATGAGTTCTCATTCTGCATCCTATGCACCCACCAAATGGGTTTCTCCAAGCCTGGTACCCCACTCCTTTCCACCTTGCCTGAGGACCTGAGGCGCCTTCCCTCTTCCCACCTTGTTCTAGTTGCAAGCTTCAGAGGATGGCCTGAGTTTCCATTCTTCATCCTGGAGGCTCCAGCTGCAGCCTCAATCTTCCAGCTGCAGCTTCAATCTTCTGCCCCGAGGGAATCTGTTGGATGATTTGGGTTGATCCTTGGGAGGCAGGAGAGCTAGTTCCAAGGCCTGTGACCAAAACCTTTCAGTCACTCTGAAGTTCCAGAACCCCATCTTTCTTGAACCAAGCCTGCTCTGGTGCCCAAAGGGAAGGAGTGTCAGGGATGGGGGCCCACAGGAGACTTTTCCTGTGGTCCAGTTTTGTCTGTTATGCTGCTGGTCTGGCACCCACAGCACTGCCCTGTCCTCCTCCTGTCTCTGGCCTCAGATACTGACAATATCGGGAGACAGTTGGAGGAGGGGCGAGGGCTGTGGAGCGAGAGAAGCTGACAGGAGGCGGGGACTCTGGGGGGCTGAGGGCTATAAAGCGGCCCAGCCGAGGGCAGGGGCCCATCCAGCCTGAGGCAGGTGCTTGTTTGGTCTAGTACCCATTTACTCTGGACTCCAGGTAAGCGGGCTCAGCGTGCCTGGGGCTCTGGGGGCCTCCCCCAGGCTGGGGCCTCGGATGGAGAGGAGTTGGTGCTTCGCAGGGCCAGGGGTCTTGGGAGGCCTAAGGTCCTGCTTGGGTCTTGCTTTCTGCATCTGGACAGACCTGTCACGCTAGAAGACAGCACGTATATGTGCACACTCATGACTGTGTGTGGACAACCGGAATGTGTGACTGTGACCTTGTGAGTGACAGGGGTCCCTGTGTGAGTGCCTTTGCCGGTCTGTGCAGGACGACATGGGCAATAGCATCTTCTCCAGGACCCATATCTGTGTCTCCATTGCAGGTTGGAGGGCCAGACCCACAAGGTCATGGATTTCTGTCCTTGGCTTCCCGAGTTCATTCTGTGTCCCCCACCCTGTGGGTGACCTGGCATGGCCTTATTCCCACTAGCTGCTGCCTCCTTGGAGCCATGAGGCCCTGGATGTCATGAGTCCCATGTGTCCAGGACTCATGTCCCCATTTTCTCTGCTATGCTTTTCTAACTTGCAAGGCGCTGGCTTGCTGGGCTGCTCACAGGACAGGCTGTCCGCGCCTTCAGAGCAGTGTCTAGGAGGTGGAGTGGTCAGCTTGGAGTGGCCCTTTGCTCTGCTCCCTTGTCCCCAGGCTTGGAGAAACGGATGATGGGCTAAGAGGCTGGGTAGATGGACCCTGCTTCCTGGGCACGGGAAATCTGCAGCCCGGGCTCTCCACCTCCCCTCTGCTTGCTCCTCAGATGGCTGCCACACGCCTCTGCCTTTCCCTGCTGCTCCTGTCCACCTGTGTGGCTCTGTTACTACAGCCACTGCTGGGTGCCCAGGGAGCCCCGCTGGAGCCAGTGTACCCAGGGGACAATGCCACGCCAGAGCAGATGGCCCAGTATGCGGCTGATCTCCGTAGATACATCAACATGCTGACCAGACCTAGGTGTGTGCCACAGTCGGGGAGAGAGATCCAGCCCCTGGGACCCTGAGCCCACTCCACATTCCTGGCCACACCCTATCCCCAGCCCCAGCCCCTTCCAGGCCTGCTCTTGGGAAAACAGGGCATCTGTGCTGAACAGGCCTAGGCCAATGTGCCCTGGGAGACATGGTGCCTACGGGCAGATATGAAACGGGTGGGCTGGCACCTGGGCACAGTGCTTGCCCCTGCTGCCTCTTCCCTCCCAGGTATGGGAAAAGACACAAAGAGGACACGCTGGCCTTCTCGGAGTGGGGGTCCCCGCATGCTGCTGCCCCCAGGTGAGTTTGACTCCCTGCCCTGTCTGTCCAACTCCCTGGGGCTGAAATAGGGGTGGTGGGACCGAATCAGAGTTTGGAAAGGTGTAGTGGGGGGTGGAAGAGGGAGAACAGGAGCCCAGAGCCAGCCTGAGGCCTCCTGAGGGCACGAGGCCTACCGCCTACACTGCCATGATCTGCCCTGTCCTCACAGGGAGCTCAGCCCGCTGGACTTGTAATGCTATCTTCTGTCTCCTATGACTCCATGAGCAGTGCCAGCCCAGCTCTCCCTTCTGCACCCTTGGCTCTGGCCAAAGCTTGCTCCCTGCTCCCGCACAGGCTCAATAAAGCAAGTCAAAGCCACAGCCTGTCCTGTGTCTCTGTGGACCCCTGGTGGGGGCAGCAGGAAGCGCCAAATGCATGGGAGAGAAAGAGGAGGGCAGGGCAGTGAAAAAGGGGATCATCCAGAACATTGGTGGGGTCATCAGAGTCGCTCAGCTCATCCTCTCCGTTTCACAGAGGGACAAGTGGTGGCCAGAGGAAGGCAGGGACTCCACTGAGCAGATGGTCCTGCATGGTCCTTCGGCAAGTCTGTGAAGTGGCAGTCTTGAATCTTCCCAGTTCAGCACCCATAGACCTTCCCGACATGGCCCGATGACAGCCCTTCCCCAAGTGCGCCCCTCACCAGTGCCTTACTGCAGCCTGGGCAGCAGAAGCACCAAAAATTATACTAAAGCATCCTTGGCATGGGGGCAGGCGCACAGCCCAGCCTGGAAGAACGATTCTGGTGCTACAGCAGTCATGGCTGCATCCAGGGCCCTGAGCTGCCATCCAGAAGTTTGGAGAGAATGGGCTGCCCCGCGAGGTAGTGAAGTCCTGGGCACAGGAGGTATTCAAGCTGCTGTGGAAGGGGAGGAGGCTAGATTAACTGAGAGTTCCAGCCAATCGAATCGAATCTGTAGATTGCACACTCCAGCCCTGTGAGGGCGAGGACCTGGATCCTGCCCCAGGGAGGACTGCCCAGAGTCCCAGAGCACCCATCTCTTCCTGGCCCTTCTCAGCCACCCTGAATAGGTGGGGACAGTGCGCGCATGCATGCGTGTGTACATGTGTGTGTGTAAAGGGGAGAAGTGAGGGAACTAGATGTGTCCAGTTCCTAGAATGGCTTCTCCTGCCTCCCCCACACGCTTGGCCTGAAGGGATGGGGTTATGGGTTTGGAGGATGAGGGGTCCGCTTTTCTGGGCTTAGCACCTTGCACAGAAATGGAAATAGCACCACAACTGTGTTTCTCCTCAAGTCCTACTCCATCTGATGTGTGCAAATGACCTGGAAGTAGAACCAAATCCTAAAAGACAACTTCTAGAGGATGCAGCTGCTTGGCTCAGATTAATTTTTTGTTTTTGGAGACAGGGTGTTGTTCTGTCACCCAGGCTGGAGTATAGTGGCATGATCACAGCTCACCATAGCCCTGACCTCCTGGCCTCAAGCGATCCTTCTGTCTCAGCCTCCCAAGTAGCTGGAACTATAGGCACATGCCACCACACCTAGCTAATTTTATTTTTGTAGAGGCAGGGTCTTGCTATGTTGCCCAGTGTGGTCTCAAACTCCTGGGTTCAAGCGATCTGCTCACCTTGGCCTCCCAAAATGCTGGGATTGCAGGTGTGAGCCACTGTGCCCGGCCTCTGGTTGATTCTTAAATCTAAGGGATGTCTGGATAGAGAGAGGGTTTTGCAAGAGAACGGTTTGGGTCTGGGAGAGGGAGTCTGAAGTCCCAGCATTTTCTCTGGCAGCTTAAGGGGATGGGTGGTGAATGGGGAGAGGAGTGGATACTTCTTAGGGCCAGGGGTTCACACCCTGGAGACATACCTGGATGTGAGGGTAGGATCAGGGCAGGGGCTCTTCCCCCACCAGGTCTCTCTGATGGCCATGGGAGCCCCCAGAAGAGAGAGCTACCCTCACACCCAGCTTCTCAGGGACAGGCCCTGGCCAGGCTCCACCCTTTCTCCTGCTCTGCTCACCCCAGAAGGACTTAGAAGTCCAGGAGGCGAAGGCGGCCCCCTATACTCTGCATGCTGAGGGGCAAAGGCACCTCTTCTTGTTCCTGTGCCAACTCTGACAGCCCAAGCTGGGTTGTTTGGTAGAAACTTGAGCCAGGTGGGAGTTGGGGTGTGTCTAGCTGAAGCCCCTCCTTTGAGGTTTCTTCTCTCACCTCTGCTCTCCCTCTGGGTTAGAGCCCCCACACTGGTGCCATCTGTGCAGGACTACCGGGGCAGTAAGTGTCTTCTCCAGGACCTGTATCTGTGTCTCTACCACGGGGTGGAGGGCCAGACCCACAAGGCCATGTATGGGTGACGTGGAGGAAGGTGGATGGGTTACCAGAGGAGGACCCCCAACAGCTGAGGTCTTTTTCTCCCACAGCAGAAACTCCAGGGTCCCCCTTCCCCTCCAGTGGACTGGTCCCTCCCTGACCCCAGGCCCACAGAAGTCACTGAAGCAACAGAAATTTGTCTTTATTGTTTCCACTGAGGGGATGAGGAGGGGTTGAGGCCCCTCTCAATATAAAGGGGTTGGTGGGAGAGAGGCGTCTGGAGGCCAAGGCCCAGCCTGGAGAAGGAAGCTCCCCCGCCGGGGCGCTGTGTCTCCCCGAATGCCCGCCCCCAGGAGCTTCCTCTCGCTATCACCCAAGCTTCCCCCAGTCCCGAGGCCCCTGGCTCGGTGCCGAGCGTCCAGGCTGTCCTACCTGGGGCCCCGGGAGGAGGTCGGTGGTCGGGGTTCCGAGGTATTCAGCCACTGGGGGTTCGTGGTGGTCCATGGAGGGTATTTCGTGCCTTTCGATGGGGAGGCGTTCGTGGCGTTCGCAGTTTTCTTGTGGTTTTTAGATTTCTTCGCGCTGGGAACAAGTCTTTGCAGTCATGAGGCTGCTCCCCGAGCCCAGCTCGGGCTGCGATGTGCGTGGGGGTGCCTGGTGGGGTCCGTGGCCCCCCCCCCC